TACAATTTACTATTGTCATTTATATTTGTACTTGTTGTTATTATATTTTATTGTGACGTGTGACTCCTGTCTTCAAATCATTTCTGTTGTGGGTCAATAAAGTTTGTCTTAGTCCAAGTTTCATGTTGAGGAGGTAATAATTATACATGGACATGATTAGTCGACTCATCGTTAACTGATCGTTAAGAATTTCATCGATCACGTTCATTTGTAATCGACAAATCAAATGTAGGTGTCTGTGTGGGACTAAACCAGAACTAAACCAGGACTAAAACAGGACTAAATCAGGACTAAACCAGGACTAACCCAGGACTAAACAGGACTAACAGGACTAAACTAAACTAAAAACAGGACTAAACAGATAACCAGGACTAATACAGGACTAAGACAGGACTAAACTAGGACTAAATCAGGACTAAACCAGGACTAAACCAGGACTAAACCAGGACTAAGACAGGACTAAACAGACAGGGTTAAGACAGGACTAAACTAGGACTAAACTAGGACTAAATCAGGACTAAAACAGGACTAAGACAGGACTAAACCAGGACTAAGACAGGACTAAACTAGGACTAAATCAGGACTAAACCAGGACTAAACCAGGACTAAGACAGGACTAAGACAGGGTTAAGACAGGACTAAACTAGGACTAAATCAGGACTAAACCAGGACTAAAACAGGACTAAGACAGGACTAAACCAGGTTTAGACTTGGTTTAAACCTAGTTTAGGCCTGGTTTAGTCCTGGTTTAGTCCTGGTTTAGTCCTGGTTTAGTCCTGGTTTAGTCCTGGTTTAGACCTGGTTTAGTCCTGGTTTAGTCCTGGTTTAGACCTGGTTTAAACCTAGTTTAGGCCTGGTTTAGGCCTGGTTTAGACCTGGTTTAGTCCTGGTTTAGGCCTGGTTTAGACCTGGAGAGGTACTTGTAGAAGTGCAAATGCAAAGAACAGTAAAATAAAAGTGAAAAAATGCAAAGGATTTTTTGCCAAAACGTCATTAAAAAAAAAAAAATTAAAAAAATCTCTCTCTGAATCTGTGAATCTGGGTGTGCCATGTGTTCTGTTTTTTTTGGCTAGTGCAACTTGTAGTCCAAAAAATAATAGTAATGATGATCATTTTAATTTAATTCTCCCGACGAGCGATTAAGAAAATTGAATCAAATGCTCATCCCTAATAAAAACTTTATAACCCACTTAAATCTCACAAGAATAACACAGTTAAGAATAATATAGTTTGCCCAACCAGTCCACATGTGCTTTGTGGATCTGGAGAAGGCATTCGACCGTGTCCCTCGTGGTGTCCTGTGGGGGGCGCTCTGGGAGTCTGGGGTCCGGGGCCCTTTGCTAAGGTCTGTCCGGTCCCTGTATGACCGGAGCAGGAGCTGTGTTCGTTGCCGGCAGTAAGTCAGACCTGTTCCCGGTGCATGTTGGACTCCGCCAGGGCTGCACCTGTCACCGGTTCTGTTCATTGTGTTTATGGACAGAATTTCTAGGCGCAGTCAGGGGCCGGAGGGGGTCCGGTTTGGGGACCACAGGATCTCATCTCTGCTGTTCGCGGACGATGTTGTCGCCGCCACTGTGTCTTAAACATGTGTAAATGAAACAAACAAACAAAAAACAAAACAAAACACATCTCCAGGTCTGTTTGTGAACACAGATTAGAAAATTGCATGGTGTAAAAGCTTTCCACACACTTTCCTATTCCTGTGATCTGTCCGAGCTCTTAGGAGTTTGATTTTCGACAAAAAAGGAAATACTGACACCCCCCCCCCCCACACACACACACTTTCCTATTCCTGTGATCTGTCCGAGCTCTTAGGAGTTTGATTTTCGACAAAAAAGGAAATACTGACCCCCCCCCGCCCCCCCCCGCCCCCTCTCCCTCAGGCACACAAAATATTAAAGTAAATAAAAGTCTGGGTTTAGATAAACTTTAGGATCAGTCTCCAGGAAATTAATGTAAGTGAATGATCCCCACAAAACCTGAAACAAAAAGTGCGTGTGCAGTGGCGGAGTTGACAATCTGGGGGCCCCCGGTGAACTTGAGTTTGGGGTCCTAACTGTAATGCACCGTTTTGTTGTTTGTTTGTTTGGTTGTTTTTTTTATATTTATCGTCTGTTTTTCCCCATTGCTCTTGAATTAGGATGGATTGGAAACTTGTTTTATTAGTTAGCAAAATCACGGCCTGGTCCTGGCCTCAATCCTGTTCTCAGTTCTGGGCTGGTCCCGGTCTAAGTCCTGGTCTCAGTCCTGGTCTGGTCAGTCCTGTTTTAGTCCTGTTTTTGGGTGGATTTAACTTTCCATCAGGAAGTACAACTCACTGCTACAAACACAGACGCCACATCGACAGTCTGGTATAATAACAGTGTTTCTTCAGGTTATTTATGGAGTGGGCGAGTCTGTTCTTATCGTCACCAGCGACCGCAAGAGAGCAGTTTTTAGCTCTACAGTGGTTATGGTTTACACTACCAAGCAAAAGTTTGGACTCGCTCCTAATTTTCCTGTATTTGTGTCAGAACAGCCCAATTAAGAGTTAACTTTAGTTATTTACATGTACATTTATTGCTAGAACATTCATAAGTATACTAATAACACAATTTAAGCAAGTATAATGTTCAGGTAGGGATATTTCTAAGCATTTATGCATGAACGCATTTCTGGAAAGTTTAGCTAGCAACATTACCCTATCTTTTGTTTGGTTAAAACACTCAAAATATCTTTCTAAAGGGTTTCATGTCTCACAAATATTGTGTGTGGCTTTTTTGAGTTTATATGAAAGACTGATAATTTCTAGAAAGAAGCATATGTTTAGCTAATTTGAAAATTATCTGAATCTGAAGTAGTACAAAAATGGCCAGAAAACCTCAGATAAGTAAAGAAAAAAGGATTGAAATTCAGGTTTTGAAAAAAAGAAGGCTATTCTACAAGACAAATTGCCCAGAAAGTTAAAGTCTCACAAAGTGGAGTTGCAAAAACATTAAAGAGATATGAAGAAACAGGTTCACATGAAGACCGATTTCGTTCTGGTAGAAGCAGAGTCACATCTAAAGCTGAAGATAAGTTCATCAGAGTTACCAGCCTTCGAAATAGACAAAAGACAGCCCCAGAGATAAGAGCTCAGCTAAACTCTACTAGGAGCAATAATGTGTCAGTGGATACTGTGCGGCGTAGACTGCGAGAATCTGGTCTGAACGGCAGGGTAGCAGCCAGAAAACCACTCCTAAGAAAGCAGAACATAAAAAAGAGACTTCAGTGGGCAAGAGAACATAAGGATTGGACTGTAGAAGAATGGAAAACAGTTCTGTTTACAGACGAATCAAAGTTCGAAATTTTTGGATCAAAGCGGCGCAAGTTTGTTCGACGTAGGGTTGGAGAGCGTTTGAATCCTGCATGTGTTGTCCCCACAGTAAAGCATGGTGGAGGTAGCGTCATGGTCTGGGGCTGTTTTGCAGGGGGTCAGACTGGTGATCTGCACAAAGTAACAGGAATTCTAAATCAGCATGGATACCACAGTATCTTACAGAGGCATGCCATTCCCTCTGGGCTGCGTTTAGTGGGCCAGCCATTTACACTACAACAAGACAATGATCCAAAACACACCTCTAAACTGTGTCAGAGGTATCTGGCCAAGAAAGAAGATGAGGGGAAGCTAAGGGTAATGACTTGGCCAGCTCAATCCCCTGACCTTAACCCCATCGAACTTGCATGGGATGAATTGGACAGAAATGTCAAGAACAAGCAACCCACAAGTGCTGCAAACCTTTATGAGATGCTGGTGGAGGAATGGCGGAAAATTTCAAGTGACTATCTCATGTCCCTGATTGACCGAATGCCTCGAATTTGTCAAGCAGTTATTAAAGCTAAAGGAGGCTATTTTGATGAGTCGCAGATTTAGACGATTCATTAACAATATTATTTTGTCAGACACTTCAGTTTTGTTTTCAGTGTTGTTATCTATAGTTTTACAGTGATTAAAAATAAAATTTTGTTCATAATGTTGTCAATATGAACCAAACACAGAAAAAGTAGGGGTGAGTCTAAACTTTTGCCTGGTAGTGTAGATCAGTGATTCGGGTGATTCGGGTCGGGGCTCGGGTCATTAGATCGGAAAACAACAAGTTCAAACGCTGGATCAAGGAGGACGATGAAATCAGGAAACGAGGCACAGAGCATTAACCGTGATGACGGCGCGTTCCTCCTTTCACACTCCTGGGACACCCTCCTCCAGAGACACCGGGCGACAGGAGGCGTGGTCAGTCTGAGCGACCTGTCAGGTCCATCAGACTGACCACGCCCACAGGAAGTAACAACAGCTGACCACGCCCACAGGAAGTAACAACAGCTGATCTACGACACGTCACCACCAACACCGGTGACGGTTCTGAAGATGCAGCAGCCGAAACAGGTCAACAAGGTAAACACACTTTACTGCATTGTCTTTAAAAAGAACCCAAGAAGTTAAAGTTACACAATGCAGCTTTAAACAGCAAATTCCACCACAGAATTCTTTCCTCAGCTCAAAATTAAAATGATGAAAGTGAGATTAAGAAACGACAGAACGTTCACGACCTCGAGCAGAAGGACACACGTGTTTATGCAGCTGTGACTCTCCCAGAAAAATCACAAAACAAAAAAGACCTGCTCAAAACCCAGACTAAACCAGGTCTAAACCAGGTGTAAACCAGGACTAAACCAGGACTAAACCAGGACTAAACCAGGACTAAGACAGGACTAAGAGAGGACTAAACCAGGACTAAACCTAGTTTAGACCTGGTTCAGTCCTGGGTTAGAACAGGTTTAGTCCTGGTTTAGACCTGGTTTAGTCCTGGTTTAGACCTGGTTTAGTCCTGGTTTAGTCCTGGTTTACACTTGGTTTAGACCTGGTTTAGTCCTGGTTTAGTTCTTGTAAAAGTTGATAAATGATCTGAGTCCAAACCTTCCACGCTCACGGTGATGAAGTCCTCGTTGTTTCCTCGGGTGGTGGACGTGTAGCACTTGTAGCGGGCGCCGTCCTTCACCTGG